AGAGGATCTCTCTCAACACATTGACCTCAATGTCAAGAGTGAGAAGGTTTACACGCGCCATGGGGTCCCCATCTCCCTCACCGGCATCGCCCGGGTGAAAATCCAGGGGCAGAACAAAGAGATGCTGGCGGCCGCCTGCCAGATGTTCCTGGGGAAGATGGAGGCTGAGATCGCCCACATCGCCCTGGAGACGCTGGAGGGCCACCAGAGGCCCATCCTGGCCCACATGACTGTGGAGGAAATCTGTAAGGACCCGCAGAAGTTCTCAGAGCAGGTTTTCAAAGTGGCCTCCTCAGACCTGGTGAACATGGGCATCAGTGTGGTCAGCTACACCCTGAAGGACATTCGTGATGACCAGGGCTACTTGCACTCCTTGGGGAAGGCTCCGACCGCTCAAGTCCAAAAAGATGCTCGGATTGGAGAAGCAGAGGCCAAGCGAGATGCTGGGATCCGGGAGGCCAAAGCCAAGCAGGAGAAAGTGTCTGCTCAGTACCTGAGTGAGATCAAGATGGCCAAGGCCCAGAGGGACTATGAGCTGAAGAAGGCCACCTATGACATTGAGGTCAACACTCGCCGCGTGCAGGCCAACCTGGCCTACCAGCTTCAGGTGGCCAAAACGAAGCAGCAGATCGAGGAGCCGCAGGTGCGGGTGCAGGTGGTGGAGCGGGCCCAGCAGGTGGCAGTGCAGGAGCAGGAGATTGCCAGCCGGGAGAAGGAGCTGGAGAACCACGTGCAGAAGCCGGTGGAAGCCGAGCGCTACCAGCTGGAGCGCCTAGGGGAGGCTGAGAAGTCCCAGCAGATCATGCAGGCGGAGGCCGAACCAGAGTCTGTGAGGATGCGGGGGGAGGCCGAGGCCTTCGCCATTGGGGCCCGGGCTGAGGCTGAACAGATGGCCAAGAAGGCAGAAGCGTTCCAGCTGTACCAGGAGGCTGCTCAGCTGGACATGCTGCTGGAGAAGCTGCCCCAGGTGGCAGAGGAGATCAGTGGTCCCTTGACCTCAACCAAAAAGATCACACTGGTGTCGAGTGGAAGTGGGGTCGTGGGAGCGGCCAAAGTGACGTGGACATCCTGAGCCGCCTGCCGGAGAGCGTGGAGAGACTCACGGGCGTCAGCATCTCCCAGGTGAACCACAAGCCTTTGCGAACTTCCTGAGCCCTCAACCTTCGCTGATGCCTAGCCTCATGGTTCAAGCTGCCTGAACGATCCCCATGCTGCATGCATGTCAGCTGGCCTCCCAGAGCACGTCCTTGGGCAGTGGGATTCCACCGCTCCCCTGTCCTTGCCAAATAGCCGTGCCTTGCCCTCTGCCCGGGCCCCCACCCCCAGGACTGCCAGTCCCCCAAGGTTTCCATGCCAGCTGTCTGATCCTCCCACCCCACCCAGCTTGTTTAGTTTCCTAATTAAACTACCCTGAGCCTGTGCCCGCCCCCCCCCCTCCAAAAAAAATAAAAGAAAAGAAAAGCAGGGCTGAGGGGTGTGATGGAGGCAGGGGACCCTCTGGAGGCCCCAGTGCTCAGAGGCCTCCTGCCCAGGCTGCTGGGAATTGGGGTGTCCTGTGGGGACTGGAGGGGCAGGAGGAGGTGGGGAGTCATTTCCAGGGGAGGAGGTGCAGGGAAGGTCCCTGGCAAGGGTGGGAGAGCAAAGCAGACCTGGGAGGGGGGGGGGCAGGAGATGGGTGTAGGAGGAGGGGAGGAGGGGGCAGAAAGGGGGTCTCTGCCCCTCTGTGTCCCCAGCTCCCAGCTGCCTCTATCACCACTACTTAAGCATTTGCTGAAAGACCATACTAACCAAGCTCTTTTAGAAAATAATTTGTACTTTACATCCCTGTGACTAATAGGGCACCTAGCCAATAATATTGCAGTCACTAGGTGTGGTGCCAGGGGGGCACTGACATGCTGGGGGACCACTTTGTAAAGTATGTGACTGTCCCCCTCTATGATGTACACCTGAAAGCAACACAAAACCACACGTAATGCAAACTGTAACTGAAAAATAAAAATCATAATATATAAAAACCCTGGGTCCATCATAACCGGAGGCTCAACCAACCAGAAGTCAGTCCTGCAGTCAGCCTGGGTTGTCATGGCGACCCAGCATTGACTGCTGAGGGGGCTGCGAATCAGGCTTGGAGAGAGGCCTGAAGAGAAAAGCAGGGTCTGATCTGTAGCCTGTGTGGCAGCTGTTGATCAGCACTTGCCTCTCTCTTTCTCTCCCAGCAGGGCCAGCAGCTGCACCTCCATTTCTCTCCAGGCCTCCACTGGGGCTGCTGATCAGCCCTGCCTTTCTGATCAGGCCCCATTGATAGGCCCAGAGACACTGACTGCATAGAAACTGACCAGTTAGAGCAAAATCTGGGTGAACTGTGAGGACTCAATGGCTGCCTAGGAGGCAGAGCTTTTGACTCCGATTGGCTCTTCCCCTCCCCTCTGCCCTCACCAGAGGCCAGGAACACCAGCAGGACAAGGGGCAGCCCCCAACTGCTCTCCCCTGCTGGCCTGATCTCCCCCCCCCAACCATTTAACCCTTGACCCACTAGCCAGTAATAGCACACACCTCCCCCAGGTACTCATTGTACCTGCAGGGAAGGGCAGTTAGGGGCGATCAGGCAGGCAGAGATAGAAACTGACCAATCAGAACCAAATTGACCGGCAGAGGAGGGCAGTTGGGGGCGAGATTGGGACGGCAGGCGAGGGCAGTTAGGGGCGATCAGGCTGGCAGGAAAGGGTAATTGGGGGCAAGATCAGGCCAGCAGGGGAGAGCAGTTGGGGGCAATCAGGCAGGCAGGCAGGTGAGTGGTTAGGAGCCAGCGGTCCCAGATTGTGAGAGGGATGTCTCTGATTGGAGAGATTGCAGACTGGGCTGAGGGAACCCCCCCTCCGTGCACAAATTTTGTGCACCGGGCCACTAGTCCTAATTAATAAAAGGGTAATATGCAAATCGACTGAATGGGGGAACAACTGGTCACTATGATGTGCACTGACCACCAGGGGGCAGGTGCCCAATGCAGGAGCTGCCCCCTGGTGGTCAGTGTGCTCCCACAGAGGGAGTGCTGCTCAGCCAGAAACTGGGCTGACAGCTGGTGAGCACAGTGGTGGTGGTGGGAGCCTCTCCTGCCTTCATGGCAATGCTAAGGATGTCCTACTGCCAACTTAGGCCCACTCCCCACTGAGAGCAGGCCTAAGCCATCAGTTGGACATCCCCCGAGGGCTCCCAGACTGCAAAAGGGTGCAGGCTGGGCTGAGGGACCCCCTCGCCCTGAGTGCACGAATGTTGTGCACTGGGCCTCTAGTTAAAATATAAAAGAAAAGAATCTGTCATTGGAGGAGCTACAGGAAAACAATTGTCATGGCTGCTTATAGTCACTAGACAGACAACCAAGTCAGAGAGCCCTGCACCCACGTAGTGTGGCCGGTGGGGCTGGCAGGGGCAGACTCCCGAGGCAGAGACTGGCGGGGGGGGGGTGGGAGGGGCACAGTGCTGGGACCAGACTGGGAGGGAGGGCGGGAGCAACCTTTGGCCACCAGGAAGCTCTGGCCACCCTCTGAGGACAGGCTGCCCTCGGGACCTTAGTCCCTGCTTCCCATTCAAGGGCATGGGCTGCCTGGGAGGGGTCACCTGGAGAGGGCCTTCCACCCTCCCCTGCTCCTGGCACTTGGCAAGCCCATCAGCCTGCAGGAGGAGGGGGAGGCCAGCTGAATGCCACCGACTGCCTAACCGAGAGCAAAGCCAGGGTGCGCAGCATTTGCAAAAGCTGGGAGCCTCAGGCTTGCCTGCCGCTCCTCAGTTCAAACATCCGAATGTGCCAGGGGTGCCGGGGCTTCCTTGTCCATCCTTCCCCTGGCCACCACAGGTCACCCCCACAGGGTACCCCGTCTCTGCCGCTTGCTCACGAAGCTCGGTTCTCACCGCCTGAGGCAGCCGCAGCCTTGAGCTGCCTGACACCAGCCCCTGCCTGCACCCCTGCCCTGGGTCTGCTGGGACCTGCTCCCTGGAGCTCGGGGACAAGGGTGGGAGAGGGAGACGGAAGTGAGATGCTGGGACCTGGGGGAGGATGGCCCAGAGGCCTGGAGCTCCAAAGAGGGCACCAGGCCCCTGGCAGCCTGGGACCCGGGGCCGGGTGTGAACCTCCTCTAGGTGC